GCCTATAGGGCATCACTTGATTAAATGTACATGGTGTTAGGTTTTGTGTACTAAAAAGCTTGGATGTGTGTCGACATCACTATATATAATGTATTTATATTGTAGCTGGATTGCCTTGTACTTACCGCGGAATGCATCTTCGTGACGGAGAATCGTTCCATGAAACCTGTAATTTTTGGTAATTATTGAGTTATTTATATTTTATTTATTTTTTTAGACATCCAGGCACAAATAACAATGAAAATAGAAGATCGGAAATCCCAGGTCTGATAGATTGCCTAAAAAGCCAAAGCTTATCGAGGAGAGGCTCTCCAAACTGTATTTGGGTTTTAAAAAGAGAATATCAAATTACAAACAAATAGAAAGTAATTTGAAAATTTCACGAATCCAGATGAACCTTGAATTTTGTCTCTATAACCATGGATATTAAAAAGATGCTCATTTCTTACACTAATCTAACAAATAAAGAATTTCTAAAACAATCAGTTGTTGTAAAAAGAACAATAATATGTATATTGATTTGTTTGTAACTGATGTCTAATACTATTACACTTTTCAATGTGTGCTTTAGCCCTACTTCGGCGTGAGGTACATGTAGGCCAGCCACAGTTGCTATTCTATGGGCTTATTCACACTATTATACATTTCTGCATCAATTCCGTTTCTCTTTAGAGGGAAATTCAGTGGCAAGCGCATTCCTGTTCAAGTGAAATTTTGTGGAGCTTCGTGTTTGCGTTTAAACTAAGTATTTAGAAACGTTCTTAATTTAGGAATGATATTGATTTCTTCATATATTATTTCTACTTATGCCTTTGATAAATTTTAGATTCAGATTGAACTCATTTAGAGCAATATAATTTTTATTATAATGGTTTATTACCATTGCTACTTGTCCTTGGTTCATCAAAAAGAACCGCCAATACGTTGATACTTATTGTTACAGAATTTAAGAACAAATACATAAATTTTATAATATAGCAATATACATAGTCATACAATAGAGCTGTTTAGCCCTTAATGGGTTTAATAATAACTTTCGTATTTACAGCATTTGCAAAGAGGGAGAAGTACATTGCGACGATTCCTTGTGTGGTGAGTAAGAACGTTGTGTCATTAATATCGAATTCGGCCTTTTTTAAAGTGTCGATCAACCTAATAACAACAAGCGGGCAACTAAAGCAATCGGAACTGCGCGAAATACGCACTTATGCCTATTAGATTCCTGATGATGACATAATTACTGTCGAAATATTGAATCCCAAGACGATGGCCTGTATTTCAACAGTTGGAGTGTGTATTATACTTTCTTATCTGAGATTAAAACGCTTGTCCCCCAAAAGCTCGTGTTAAGCTACATTCACATCGGATCCGAACCGAAATTCGGTTCTGATGAGCTGAACGCCGGCGTCTCTGTTCTTACACACTGATTCGATTTTCTGATCGGGTCGGTAGGCCTTCCGATCCAAAAATTCGGTTTCAGTGTGAATGAAGCTTTAACTTTTCCCTGATCCTTTAAATAATTAAGAAAAATGAATAAGGTTAGGTAACCACACACACACACACACACACGCACACCCACCCACACACAAATATATATACTAAATTGATCAGGCGTAGGTATGATTGTATCGTGTGCTATAAAGTCAGAAAGAAAAATTTATAATATTAGTATTTAGAAGTATGTTAAAATAATACGGTTTATAAAAATTTGAATATTGTTATCTGAAGAACAATAATAATTACTATTATAAACATTGAAACATTTTTAAAAGATGAATAATGTTAGGTAACTTCTCAAAAATGTATGCCTATATTATATAGATCAGTACCCAGTACCATTATATGCACAGGGATAATTGATTTAGGTTTTTAAATGTTAAAAAATGACTAAATGTCAAGATGTAAATAATATTTAGATTTTTAAAGCTTTAACAAAATATACGTAAGAAGTGAGAATATGAATCTTAGTAAAACGTGCATATATTTGTTCATATACTTTTCAGTTTACTTAATTTCCTTTAACCTGTATATAATATCATTGTTAATGCAGATGAAGAGAAACCTGGGACTTGCCCAGAGCAAAATGGTGGAGTTGGAACTTGTGTTACCGAATGCAGGCATGATACAGAGTGTCCGGGATTAGAGAAATGTTGCAGTAATGGATGTGGGGATGTTTGTCGTTTACCACAAGAAGGTAAATTACACCGTTTAGGTAATATACATATAACTATAGCCCTACACTGTAGTGATAGTTAATGATATTGTGGTTAGTTGTTAGATTCAGTAAAATTGGATTTCAATGTTCATAATTTGTTCCACTGATGTGTTATTTCGTTTATTTTTATATGCGTTACATCTTGAATCATTTTTTTTGCAAGTTTTTATGTTTAGCTGTATTTTTTTTTTTATCATTTCATCTTTTAATATATTTGAATTGTTTGTAATTTTTATGTAGCCTATTTTGATGAAAGCAAGATGGAGATTTAACGAACAATAAACATAAACTTTTTTGTATTTTAACCTTTTTAGGTTAATATAATAAACCAGTGATGGCGCCAGGACCTACCCGACGGAGGGGCTAGAGGCCCCGACGGAGTGGGGGGGGGGGTGGCTAGTGGAGCGAATCGAGTCTTACTTGTCTGGGGGACAAGGGGCCGCCTAGGGCAATCGGTGGAGTCCAGGGGCGAAGCCCTCTGGAAGCCACGGATATTTGACGATATATGGCAAAGCAATATAAAACAAAGCGTATGCAATGTAACCATCTAATTTATTTTCAAATTCTCATTCTTGAAAGTGAAATTCTATATTTTGGAAATTTTGCTTGAAATCTGTCAACCACGTTGTCATGGTCGAGGTTGCTTCACCAATCAAGATGTATTTCAAGCATCATGAGTCTATCCAAATGAGCATTTGTCATAACAGAACGCAAATTATTTTTAATTAGTCTCATTGAACTATTATTATTATTATTATTATTATTATTATTATTATTATTATTATTATTGTTAATGTTATTATTATTATTATTATTATTATTATTATTATTATTAATAATAATAATAATAATAATAATACAAATAGTTTAATAAAAACAATGTCGTAGCTAAACGAACATTGCATGTAAATATTTTTTTTATTTGTTTATTTCCCGACAGAATATACTCGTCTCGACGGGGGGGGGGGGGGCATGTGTATAAGAGACAGCCCCAGCCCCTCTGGCGCCACCACTGTAATAAACATATTTTACGACACAAAAACGTCATTTAGGGCAATGTGTAGGACATTTTAAAGAACCTTATTTTCTCATTGAATACGGTATCTTTTAATGTGACGTGGTACCGTATGCGATAAGAGGATCACATTAATGTTAATGTCAATTTTTCTCTTGATTAGAAATGTGATATCATTCTTTTTTTTTATGATCATAGAAAATAATCCATCATCCTGTTACTTCGAAGACGATTGGCATGGAGATGGTCAAATAGTCCATTCTGGTTGCGGAAGCTGCTTTTGTACAAACGGATCAGTTGTTTGCAGAACCCCAATATGTCCAAGAGTTAATTGTTATAACCCGGTTTATGTTGAATCCGAATGCTGCCCTATTTGTCGTACGTGAACAAATTACTACTATTTATATTGTAATTGTTGTTGCTGTTTATCTTTTTTTTTTATTTCACTATTTTGCTATTGTTGTTTTCTTTTTGCTGTTTTGAATCTGGATAGATTTAGACAGAGGACCACACTGGGGTATATACGTCAGTGCGCGTCATAGATCTGCAAGCTAATGGTTAATACCGTATATATTTATCTATGATTTTATTTGTTTATATACTGTCTCTTATACACATCTAGATGTGTATAAGAGACAGCAATTAGGCCTAATACTATTTCTAATTGTTACAATTGTAATTGTTACAATAGTGCATAGACGCAAAACACACTTGCAAAATTTGATTAACAGCAGCTTCTACTTCGGCCTAGTGCCTCAGGTTCACTGCCGTTAGACTGCAACAGAAAGCGAAGCTGCCCCGAGTCAGGTTGTTGTTTTATTGTAGTTTTTGTTGTTGCTGTTTGTCTTGTTAATTGCCGATGTTGGCTGTCACTTGTTTCTGTTGTTTTTGTTTACTGTTGTTGTTTCGTTTATTTTTTTGTTCTACTTTGTTGTGTTTTTTGAGTTGTTTTTGATTTTATGTTGTTTTTGTTTTTATTCTGTTTTGTTTAGTATTGCGTGTTAGCTTTCGCTGTTATATGTGAAAGTAATGTTTGGTTTTTCAACAACAAGGCCGGGGTTTCACTCCGTCGACGGTGCGCTTTAATCTTCAGACACGCGATTTTTTATTCGACTACTCCAAAACAAATTTTACTATTATAAGACTTTTATACAAATGTAAACATAGGCCTAAATGCGACATTAAAGAATTTGTATTAATTTACTTTCTCATTTCAGTTGAACATCACACCAGTCCCGGAGAATGTCCCCCTAATATGCCAAGTACATGTGCTAATGAATGCCTCGACGACTATCATTGTGACTCATCTAGAAAGTGCTGTTCAACAGGTTGTGGATCAATTTGTTTGGAACCTTTTGCATTAGGTAAGCTTAATTTACACTCCTACGATAGTATAAAAACACTACTGTTTGCCAAAACTAAGAAAAGAAAAATCAGGAAACCACAAAAATTCAATATAAATGTTTGAATAGCTAATTTAAAGGGGCCGAATAAATGATTACTTTCAACCATAAACAACCATCTGGTTTGTCTGTACTATGTCATTGGATTGACTGTGTCATGGTTCATTAGCAGGAGAACAATTGGACAAGCATAAGCTCCCATCGTCGAGGTCGCCGGACGAAAAAATTAATTAGCCGATCAAAACACAATTATTGTGGCTAGTCCCTAATATAATCTCTCTCCCCCATGATGAACCCCACCAGAGATTTTATTCCCAGATTCTAACCGACCGTTGCTCTCTTATCGGCCCCTTGTCGGCAACTTTCTGAAGCAACCACTACTTCAAAAATAGACGGCGGTCGCAAGATATATACCCCTGAAGAAATACACATTATAACTACAACATGTAGGGGAATGTTCATAGGCAAAGATCTAATGTGCGCAAATGTGTATGTACGTGCATGTGATAGCATAAATGAGGTAATGTGAGTGTGCGTACTCAATTGTTATTATTAATATTATCGCCGTCGTCTTCATCATCATCACATTATTACATCATCATCAGCAGCATTATATCATTATTATAAATGTTATATTATTATTATTATTATTAATTTTAATATTATTATTTTTTATTATTGTATCAATTATCGACAGTTATAAAAATAATGGGCATTCATAGCGTACATTTCAATTAAATTGGGACGAAACTGCAGTATATCCTAAAGAAAATAATGGAATAGCTCATCGTATTCATGCACATTGTTTTCTTTACTGCTGCACTATACTCTGAAGAAAATAATGGAATTGCTTGTCCTATTCTTGAGTACTGCCTCAATACCAGGGGAGATTCCATTATTTTCTTTTATGCTCGAGGGTAAAACATCAAATTTCCGTGACCTTGACCTGGTCACCTGACCTTTTCTTCCGCAAATTTAAAGACGTCTTTTATTATTATTATGTACAAATTTCACTAAATTATATGATAAACCAATCATTAGTTTTGCGTAATCTTGCTAACAGACAGACAGACAGCACTGAATACATTACCTCTTTGATGGAGGTAATTAAATTAAAAAATTAATTTTTCTCCTTTAGATCACGAAGGAATGTGTCCTTTCTTGGCCAACGATGGTCTTGTGTACACCCATGAAACAGAATGCCAGAGAGATGACCACTGTGGCCCAGAAGAAAAGTGTTGCTTTGATTTATATGGAACAAAAGCCTGTTTGGAATCTATACCAGAAGGTGATTTTAATGTGTTGCTGAATTTGGGGTTGGGTAAACCGGCTTTGCTACAGTGATTTGGTTCACTCTGGTTGTCCCTGGTCTCCCCAAATTTCAGCTTTTTTGTTGTTGTTGTTGTTGTTGTAAATGACCTAATAAATAATGAAATGAAATGAAATGAAATTATATTTTGATTTTCGTCAGATGTTTTTTTGCATACGTCAGATCTCCACTGACGTCATAAGCTATAGTGCCCTCTAGTAACATTCAAATTGGTCCTGGTTTAACATTCAAATTGGTCCTGGTTGAGTTATATGTGACTTCTACAATGAATAAAACCAGTGGCAGAACGATCTTCAGAGTTAGTGCATACACTCATGCTTAGGCCTACCACCAGTTCTATCTAATTGCTTATAAAGTAGAATAATTCATTAAATAGCACATACGCAAGTTTGCACTGGTTGGTATCTGGAGTTATTTCGTTATGTTTTAACTAACAATACCATCTCCATTCTACCTCTTAAGATGTCATATATACTAATACTAACTTTAACTACTAAATTTTGAATAGTTTATATTTATATTTTGAATTTGTATAATATTTATTTCTGTATGTGTAGTTTCATAGTCAAATTAATAAGTGAAATGAAATGTGCATCAACACACCCCTCTGTTTGTATGGTACTCTTCACTACAGTAATAGGCATCATTATGAGTGTTAGGGAGTGGAGTTTTGGTCGTGAGAATAAATCCTGTTACCATTACAGGAATTGAAACCAGGACCCTTGGATTGGGAAACAACCCAACGTATGGAAGCTCTCCTTGGCAAAATCGTTTTTACAACCTCGCTCTCAATCCCGCCCACATCCTCGCCTTCTGACATTTTCATTAGAACTGCTCTTCTTATGTAGACTCTATGAAAGTTAAGCTAAAAATAACTTCTTGTATGAATTTATTGTTCATTGATATTGTGTGTTTGGCGGATAATAGCTCTAGATGGCCGCTGTTCCCTTAAATGGCTAATGAGGCAATAAAATTGAATTGAATTGAATTGCTTTCAGATGTGTGTAACCCAAACCCTTGTCAAAACGGCGGTACTTGTATAGGATTTGAGTGGTATCCGTGTGTCTGTACATATGGTTTTGGTGGAACTTATTGCGACAGAGGTAAGTAAAATTTTCTACGTTAGCTGTCCCATCACTACAAAAACCTTTCTTTTTCGTGCTTTCAAAATATAGTAAACTGAGGGGAAATCGAACCCTTAAGCATAAAATGACTTTATATACACGTACACATAATACCATAACATATAATGTACATAATTATGTTAACTGAAGAGGCATATAAAGTCTTTACAATGAATATAACAATTGGTGATAATTATTTTGCATTTTATAATTAAATGACGTCATTGTGTAAACAAGCTGGGCAAGTAAGTAAAATGGACCCTCATAAAACATAATATAATTCAGAATTTTAAACACTTTTTCTTGATTAAATTTTATTTTCCATGTAATGAAAATTAAGTTTAAAACCACAGAAGAATAATTAAGTGATATTAAAAGTAATTTCTTTTTTTAATTATCAAATTATCATGCACAATTGTTTAAAATATTGGTACACATACACAGGTTAATAGTCTATGAGCACAAATAGCATTTGCACATGATTCATGAAACCATGAATAACACATTTGATAGGCTATTCATTCCTCGTCATCATAATGAAACCCATCGCACTCTCCCCCCTCCCCACACACACAATAGTTGCTTATGTCATCCTCTGCTTAGGGCACTTGTTTGTTGCTTTTTTGAACCTTTTCTTTTCCTTTAATACTCTTTGCCCCCATTCTCTCTTTTGCAGTTGTTTTTTGCCTTTTTCTTCTGTTCAGCATTACTTTTGTTCTGCTGTGCATGCTTTAAACTGTCAACATAGGCAGTTGATGTTATCAGTCTGGCCTTACGCTTGCACCTTTTAGCTTTGCCTACACTCCTTTCAACAGTCGGAATTAGACAATGTCGACAAATGTTTGAAAGTCATTGGTGCTAATTGGTTTAGATGGTCCTGGTATACCTTTAGGCAAGTCCAAAGGTGGTTGTATGATTTGTTCTGGTCCTGTGGTACTGGTATCTACCGGTGTATTTTCTGGTGTGGTGTCCAGATCTGTTGCATCCACTCCTATCATTGGCATTGGCCGTTCTGAAAATTTTGATCGATCATACGCTTCGTCAGGGATTGCTTAGGGGTTAAATGATATCACACATGCTTTAAATCCAGAAACTGCATTTTTCACAGATGCTGTCTTCCCCCCCACCCCATGCCTCGCAGAAAAGTGCAGGGAATTGTTATTTGGTGATATCCCTTCCTGGATGGTTTCTCATCAAGTGGTGTGCAGCTGCATGGAAGTAGGACTTCATTGGTTTGAACAAGGTCCTGTCAAGTGGTTGTAGATATTTGGTGGCAGTGGCGTAACGATGGGCACGGGGGCAATGTGGCCTTCTTAGACTGGGAGTCCCTTTTGGACCCCAGTCGCCAATTTTATTGTGGGATTTTAGAGGTGCTCTTTTTCCTAATATTTGTTATTTGTATTGTAGATTGTTTTTAACGACGGAATAAATTATATGATTTTAGATGGAGATCAAGGTATTTGAAATAGAGAGGGAATGGGACAGGGAAGGACTTTCACAAATCTATACGACCTCAGCCCCACCATGGTTGATTATTATATTATTTATGATTATGGCGCCTCTAAATAGCCGGAAATTGCACTCATAGACTTAAAATGCGAGTATAAATTTCCTTTTATCTTAATTTTTTTCAAATCGGCAAATTAAAGAGGGGCCACGGGCCGACAGGGCCACATTTAATCGGCCCGCACTGGATATAATAATATGATATGTCTTACAGTTGATCTCAGAGACACGTCATTATACTGCTAGATCGAGTAGGCCTACCCTATGGCCTTCGCATGATCGAGAGCGCATAGGCGTTACGCCACTGTTTGGCGGTGTGTGGTGGTAAGCACACCATGACAATGTCATAAGCCATGGCAAATTCAAGGGTCTTAATTAGCTGTACGTTAGAGCCATGAACATATCAGGATGACACTACCTGGTGTTCCATGCTTTCTGAAATGCTCCAGCCAAACAAAGATTGATGTCTTTGTTAATTTAACTTGTGTTTGACATAGCGAGTTGAAAGCCAGTAGGTAGCCCGTCTTCCCACTCATTTTTCTTTCGCTTTCCTTTCAAGATGATGTACGGTGGTATGTAGCTACCTACCGTATTACAGCAACAGCTGTTACATTTCCCCTCTCCCCTCCTCCGCATTCGTTATCGAGACTACAGACCTGTTTTCCCTTGGCAGCCAGCAGCTTTCCTGGTCTGTTGATCATCTGGCAACCCAGCTAGTTGATTTCCATAGGCCTTCAATGTCCAGAATACCTTCAAGTATATTATTGAAATATTTACCTACGACAATGCGATTCATCGTCATTGCACCTGCCCTGGATAGGCCTTCTGCTTGGCGAGTAGAAATTTCTGGATGGCGCTTAAAAACATGAAGCCAGTAATAACCAGCAGACCTTTTCTCATGGTTGAAGTTGTGTTTCAAACCATTTCGCTCATCAAGGAATTCCTACGCCAGCTCGCATATATCTTTTGGTGTTAGTCCAAATCCGCTGGACTCCATCTGTTTAATCTTGATTTTGTATTCCGATTACAGGCACCCCATCCAGCACAGGTCATATAACGGCATCACTAGGGTTCCTGGCTTTCTTTCGCAACGTTGTTATCCGCACATTAAATTGCTTTGCATATCTCTTCACGCCCATCTCTTTTCGTCCACAATCCACTGCCAACGCCATCGATTATACATCCCATTTGGCTCGGTTTGTTTGCTGTTGATATTTAAACGACATTAATAGAAACAACACCCGATTCTACCTAAATGATCTGATAAGTATCAGTTTCAGTGACAAACACACAACACTATCTGTTGATATGCCACTTTCATAAAGGCAAAGCTAGCTTAATGAAAATGCAGCCTAGGCAATGGTCCATTTTATTTAAGGTATACAAGCTCATTATTTATTATATCCGGTGTGCTAAACATTGCCATGAAGGTCACAAGCCTATGATAACAGAAGTCCTGATAACTTCGTCGGCCACTTCGTGTCTTGAAACTTGGATAAAATTGTGATTAAATATTGTCAGACTTATTGTAGGCCTATGGTGATCAATCAAGATAAAACAAAATCATTGTTGATTGCATAACAACAGCACAATCAGGATTGCGAATATTGCTAATGCGAGTCACGTGACTCGTATATGTATAGATGATCCCCTTTAACTAGACTGGGATCAATTAAGTCTGACATTGACGTACAGACGAAAGATAATTAGCTGCATAATATTATTTCAACACTAAACTGTCATTACTTCTACTTATTATGAAAATAATACCGGTATTTTTTTTTTGTCGGAATTTCGTATTCCAGACGACCCCTGCACTTCGAGACCATGTATGAACGGCGGCAGCTGTATAGCAGGTATCTTTGATTACGGTAGTTATTACTGGAGTTTTAGCGATAGTGAGGGTGATTCGCTCTGCTGGTGCCTTCCAGGATATGCAGGCGATTTTTGCGAAATTGGTAGGTATAATCATGAACCTTTCCAGAGTGTCAATCAAATTTATCACTGACCAACCGGAACAGGGCCAGGAATACGCGTGTGCCTAAAACATAGTTTGATACAATCGCTACACGCTATCGCCGACAGCTTTCGGTGATGCTGATTGGTCGGTTGAAGCGGGGAGCCTTCTCGATTGCGTCGGGGACTATTACGCAGTACAACGATTGCGCTGAAAACACTGTAGCGACAGTGTAGCGATTTTAAGAAATCAGGCTTAATAAGCACACGTGTTGTCACACAAAAACCCAAGTGTTTGCGTAGGCTATGTTTTAACACACCTGGTTCTCACGAGAGCCCTAGTATCCGGATCGGGAGGTAACCGTTAGCGCTAACCGTTAGCACCTGTGTGAGAACGCCCGATCGGTTAGCGCTAACAGTTAGCGGTATCCGGATACTGCTAACGGTTAGCAATTGCGCTATCGGTTAGCAAGTGAGCACGTTTCTATCATCAACCAATCACACGTACGCGTTTACAATTTCCAGTTTCTTATTGGCTAGTGATTCGATCATCATATTCTTGGTATCCGGATCGTATTTTCTCATATGGACGCACGGCAGCTAACGATTAGCAGGATCCGGATCCTGCTAACCGTTAGCAGCCGTGTGAGAACATAGCCACAGTCGTTTTGTGAGACCTTAACAACAATATCCAAGGGGCGGGACTTAGCGGAAAGGTCTATTGTGATTCCAAATTCCAAAGTAGGGTGCATTTAACAAAACATGGCCAAATCTTCATATTCCTATTTTACTACGTTTAGTTTTCCGCTATAATAACAGATTCAGGCCCATACTCAACATTATTGCTAAGCCTTTGGTTAAGAATGCATGACACTTCATTCTTTAAATTACCTTAATCGACAATAAAACGACGAAGAAATGCTGTGTAGCGAAAAACCTCATTGAACACTAGGCTATAAGGAGTCAGTTAGGTATTAGCTTAATACGGTATTAGACGTTTTCAATATCTAAAAATAACTGAATAATGCTGATAAATAATCTATGTTTTGTTTATATTGTTTGCTAGACAGACCATAAAAACAGAACAAGCACGTAGTTTTTGTTGTAGTTGTTGGTAGAACCTAGTCTCTCGGATAAGGACTTAAAAAGGAGGTGTACGCTTCTGGCTCGTGTGCACTTTAAAGAACCCATTGCATCTTTCGGAGGAGTAGGAGGTTACCCCGATGATGGTTTATTTCAGTCCCTGTCTTTGTGGAATGATGTGAACATCTACTATAAGCGCCTCTTTACATCCTCTAGGTAGTCACGGACCACGCCCATACGCAATTCACCACAATGACGCTGCGACTTATGGGTTATTCTCCAACCTTTACCATATTATATTCATATGTTCACAGAGAAAATGTTATCTCGTGTTGTTTCATGTTACTACACATGCAAATGACATTTTGGCTATATTTACCGGTGACATCCTCTACAATACTCTTTAATTGTATATTTTGTTTTCTTTTGAAATAAACTCATTAATATATCTTCATTGTTTAGATTTGTGTTTCCCGGATCCATGTCAAAACGGAGGTACTTGCTCGGGATATGAAACGCTACTTTGTTACTGTCCATACGGCTATAGCGGGGACCATTGCGAAGAAGGTAGTTTTATAATAATTCACCTTATAGAACATCTCATTTTTTTAAGCATTATTACATTCATTCATTCATTCATTCATCCATTCGTTTATACTTTCATCCATACATTCATTGATTCATCAATCCATCCATTCTTTCATTGATTCATTGATTAATTATCAATCAATCAATCAATTAATCATCAATAAGAAATAAAGTAGAAAATAGAAAACAAAAAAGTATTATAGTAATGCTCGTTCATAAAAGGGAAGATAAAATTGTGTATTTAGATAATTTCTAAGGATACGTAATTACTTAAATAATTAGTAGAAAATTATTATTTATATTATCATTATCGTTAAAAATCATTATCATTGTCACTAAACATCATTAACATACATTGTTATTTAAATATTATTTAAAAGAAAAAAGGACATCAATAACATAATATATACA